TTGGCTGGGAATAAGGAGACAGCCGAGTCTTTCTGCAGCCCGTTCCCACCAGCACAACGTGCTCATTCTCACCGCGCATTTTGCGCATTCGAGCAAAAACAAGAGCAAACACGAACAGCTCCATTCCCATCCGTCTGCTAGAGGGGAACTCACAGATGCTTCATTATATACCTCCCACCGGCACTGGCGAGGCAGAAGATTTGTATAAAAAGAGGGGGAGACTCGGACAAAACACAAGGTTCATTGTAACTGTTTGCGTTTGTAATTCTATTAGCTGACGCTAACCAAAGCATGAGGCTGCTTTACGCTTTTCCTCACTTTTCAGGACAGACATTGTAAACAGCAGCTCAAGGACCAGAGCCTGCTATGTTTCATAAACTATGCGGATGTCATATTTTAGTTAAAGAATAGAGGAGGAGGAGACAATCAGAATTGTTCTGTGCAACTGGAATTTTATTATATATATAAATAACAACGAGAGACTGAGGAATTTTGAGACTTCCTACTTGCTGACCTTGCCGTAGGACCCACTGAGTCCCACAGCAGATTAAGGATGAGGTCTCACATTGACACAAAATGCGCAGGGTCCTTTCAGAGATTGCCCACCAGCAGCAGATACAGGCTCAGTCATCCTGAGGCAGAAGGCAGATTAGTCACATTCAGAGTCAAAGTGGGTTCTGACGTTTTCCTCTTTTTCTTGTGAAACTGTTGCTCTTATCTAAACGTTATAGACATCTATACCTAAAGAAAGTGGACAGAGGATAAAGCGGAGAGGAAGGGTGGGAGAGAGAAAAAAAGAATTAAAATATGACAGACATTTTGCAAGCACTGTCAGAGGGCAATTTACTTTTTTCCTACGGTTGGCAAGTTGATCAGAATCTGTATGATACGCATTTTCAAAGCCAAGTGATTCACAGTATAGAGATTTCATGCTTCATATCACAGATTGCAGCCACAGTAATAGCGCAATGGCCATCTTGTTTGCTCTGGAGATCTTCATGCCTGAAGTTGAGCTGTACGCAAACATGAAAAGAAAGAACTCTTCCCAGCAACAAAATACCAATGGCAGTTGTGTGTAATAAATTAACTTTCGTAAACAGAATTCTTTCTATTCCTGTTAACTGTATTTTCTTCCTGATCTTGCTTACTCTACAGTGAAGCTAGGGCAATAGGACTTAAACAAGCAGAAATAGTAAAATAGAGAACCTGGACAGAATGAAAATGAGATATGCAGCCTTCATGGAAAAATACAGACTCACGCAGCTCCCACGCAATTCATCAGCACAACAGCTGGATAAAATTAAAACTTAGTTCTTCCACATTGGAATGTGATTTGAGCTGTAGTTTGCATATAACCATTGACAACAAAATGCAATAATGTAGGTGCAATGCTGCTGTTTCTTTTTTTTCCTCTTAAAAAAACAAACACAAATATATTACTGCCTGTCTCCATCCCAAGGCGATTTTTTTGAGGGCTGACTATTTAACCACTTAATTCAAAGATCCATTTCCTGTAGCAAATCTTTATGAGGAAAATATCACTGTATTTATTTTAGCCAGATTCAGCTAGGAGCATTGCCAACATATTAAATACAGTGTGACTCGTGGGACTGATCTCATATGGTGTAAACAAACACATCTTTTCAAAGACCACAGCAGTGCTCTCCAACCTTTGGGATCATTGAAATCCAACAAAACATCTGGACTTAAGCATGGGGTTGAATAACTGGCTTTGAATGCAAGCAGAAGCAACAAACTGCCACCCCCACAGACCAGCTGAAAACTGATACTGAATTGAACTTTTCACCACCCGGCTCCTCCAGGTCAAAAGCTTAGTGGTTTCACTTATGTAGCTCCTCTAGAAAGAGCATGAGGCAAAGCAAGCAAATTTCAAAAGCACTTGGTTCACGACCAGGTTAACTCTTTTAAAAGACAGCCAGTAAAACAGCACCCGAGGCAGCAGCTGTTAAAGGGATGTTCCTCAGAACTTGCTGTTCACGTGACCGACGCTCTGAGGTTTTGGACAACTTTAGTATAAACCTTCCTGACGAGCTTTTCTTCCTCTTCATTAAGAGGAAACCTGCTTTAAAGCGGGTGCTGAAGTCTCAAAGAATGAATAAAGGGCTGACAAAAGTTATACCCACTGAGTAAAACATGTTGAAAGAAAAAAGAAGGGGGAGAGTGATTTAGAGATGGCTGTTTCTGATGAACCTTGACACTTTGTACAGTGTCCCACAAATAAACAAGAGATCAATATTTACTTACTGGCTCCATCTTAATTTACCACAAGCACAATATTTTAGTGACCTACCGTATCTTTACTCTGAGCAAGACTACTCTTCCCTTCTTTGTGTGTGTGGGGGTGTGTGTTTTTGCATTATGAGGTTGTTTTAAAAAATATTAAGAGATCACTCTCATACTTAAAACCTTTTTATTTATACATCTGAAGGACAACAAATGTCCTCAGTAAGTCAGCCACTCAACGTACCTTTGCCCTTGTGAGAACTAACTAGGGAGATTAAAAATACATTAACAGAAACACAACACTAGAGTGTAGTTCCGCTTCTGAAGTTGACCGTGTAAGAGTGAAATGCTTACTCAACAGTT